GATGGATAGAGACAGAGGAGCACAGTAACAGACAGGAGAACTATATCCCCCAAAGCAGAGACAAGACAGCATCTGGGACTCAGAGGAAGTAGAGACGACAGGACATTTTGCAGGGTCCACCCCTCACTGGCACAGCGACAGGTATTCCGAGTACCTCTTCTTCAGCTCTTCCAGCCTGGCAGCTGAGACACAGAGGGGCAGCGCACAGAAGATGACCATGACAAACGATGCATTTATCCAAAGTAACAGATTTTACCCACGCAGAGTACAGTGGACATAAGGATACGAGGGCAAGGTGGGTGGGATTATACCCCAAAGTGTCAGTCAGTGCCTTGTTTAGCCAACAGGAAGGGATTGATGGCTCATGATAAAAATTCACCCACCATGACCTCAAACACTCACTTCTCACTTTACCAAGGAGCACCTGTCTACTCGGACAAGAGCTCAGTGTCATGCCTCCTCCAGACTCACCCAAGGTGTGCTTGTGTCCATCTCCCCAGTAGCGCCGGACTGTCAGTGTCTGCTGCACTGCCTGAGTTGCAGCTCCGCAGGTGTCTGACAGCTGGAGAACAGCCTGGAGCTCCTGAGGGAGACATTATCAGGCCAACATGCTGGTCATGGCTGCAGGGAGGCAGAGCCCTTCTCCACATTCTTACTTCATTAGCGGATGCTTTCATCTTGGCGAACGGCGCACCTGGTTACAGCCAGAGAGGAGGCGGTGAACGGTCTGGAAGGTGTGCGTGTCTGGGGAGAGAACGGGGGGGCTTCGATTGCAGTAGCTCCTGAAGTCTGTGTTGAAGGCTTGGCTGAAGGTAGACATCAGCTGAGACAAATCGGATATGGCGACACGCAGGGCGGTGGGAGAAAGGGGAGGAGAGGAGGCCACCTGCAGGAACTCACACTTGGGGGGGGGGGGGGGGGGGGGGAAAGCGGGGGCAGGGAGAAGAGGACAGAAATACCACAATATGGTTTGGCTCTGCTCTACCAACAGCATTTTACTCTTTTTCTACACCACACTTCAGAAGAGAGTCAAATCACGCTTTCTGATTTCTTCAGTTTCATCACTTTTAAAATTTGACCTCTATTCTCACCAGTATTGTGTAAACAAAATACACCTGGCAGAATCACACCAAGTTAAAGGGCATGCCCCATGTCCACAGAAGACAGCTCATAGGATAAACAGAGACTGACAAGAAAAAGAACCAATCATGTGAGTTTATGAGTGATTAAGCCTCACCTCTTTCTGCAGGTCTTCCAGTAAGGACTGAGTGGAATGTAGTAAGTCTTCCACGCTTCCAGGGTGGTCCTCACTCTTGGTCATTGACTGACCTCGGGATCTGATAACAAGACCACAACATTTAACCCAGCAATCTTTACTGACCAATGATAACATCAGTCTCTTAAGGGTAATAATTGTGAGGTCCAGTATTTAAATGAATTTGTTAATCAATATAGCATCGCCTGACACACAGATGAAGGTGGGACTCACGCTTTGCACTGGGCTGTGCTCTGGTGCAGCAGCTCCCGGACATCAGCGGTCCATGGGCTGCAAGAGGGAGACAGGAGCTGGCCCAGCTGCTCCAGATGTTGAGATGACAGCAGCTCACTCAGGAATTCCTCATTCCTCACCACCAGCTCAGCCACACCCAGCTCTGTCCTGAAAAATTCCCCTCATTTTATTCCCGGTTTGGATTTGCCAGAATCCTACTTTCAGGATGCCCCGAATTCTGTGCCAGGAATAAGCAGCACTTACCTGGATGAAAATCCAGAGGCCATCTCTGCAGGCATGCTGGGGATCAGGGAGATGAGCTGATCGAGGAACAGCAGCTGGCAGAGGGGCGGTGCCTGACCCTGGAGGCGGGGCCATTAGCTTCCTAATTACCTTCCTTATTACGTTGGTACTGTGCAGGTTTTGGGTGTGATGAATATATACTTGCCCCAGTTTCAAATCTGCTTTACAAGGCTGGCCTGCTCAGTATTGTAGTGCAAGACAAGTGGCACAACATGTAGTTAAATTAGTGCTAAAAAAAACTGCCCATTAGCCTAAATACAGGCAATATCAGACTTTGGTGTGTATGCTCAGTCTGCTGGTAACCAGGAGATGCTCAGATACTATTAGAACACTGGTTACGTAAAAAAATCACCTCCTATACTCTGAGGCATACATGTGCTCACCTTGATTAAGTTCAGGTCACCTGGTTTGCACAACATCAGCTCCTGGACAAACTCCATGATTTCTGTGTGAAGGTAAAGGTGAGCTGCATTATCCGAACGTGCCCTCAGCCCCCGCTGAAGGACCAAATTATTTCAGAAAGAAAATCACAAAATGTGCAACTATAAAATCACCAGTGTCACAAAAGGCCAGGCTAACTGCTGAAATTAGCGGTTAGCTACATTATTAAAAAGTATGTGTTTTAGATAAATACTTAACAGTCATTCAGCCAGAAATGTCACAAACGAATCAAATACATCAAACTTAAAATATTTCAGCACATTTCCATCTGTTATGAGAAACATCATGAAAGGACAAGAACACACACATACACACAATGAAATATTCAGACGACCTGCTTGCTAAAACGACCCTCTGAAGGGTGGATGTTACCCCAACCACAGAGCATCAGGTTCAGTAGGTGTGATGTACATCTAGATTAGAAGATGCTCTGTATACTGGGGTGTACAGCATGCTAAAACGACCCTCTGAAGGGTGGATGTTACCCCAACCACAGAGCATCAGGTTCAGTAGGTGTGATGTACATCTAGATTAGAAGATGCTCTGTATACTGGGGTGTACAGCTTACCAGCTACCAATCACAGGCACGGGGCAGCACTCCTGGGGGGGGGGCGGGGCGGTAATACGCTGCTACATTAAGGCGCCATAACCTGACGCCTGTAGTTACATTCTTGGGGCTACTGCGTAAGCTACGGTGTAGGATATGCAGCCATACTGAACCTACGCTGTACCGACAGCATAGATTCTACACAGAAGTATAAATCAGCCTTTAGGGTCAATGAAATAATGGTTTGTTGTCATGATAATTCTTTGCTGGTTACTTGCAAGGCCACATTTCTTTGAATGTACATCAAGAGTGTTGGGATTCTGTCGCTTTGAAAGAGTATCTGCTTTTATTTATCTTTCATAATCTTGAATAATATGGTGATAGACAGATATAATTACTGCTACTGGTCATTGTAACAGCATTTTGGGGCTTGTGTGCTCCTTTAAAGAGGCCAAATCAATAACAAGTCCTTCAAAAAAATCATCTAATGTTCAGAACACACCAAAGTGTATCCTAGGGTAGTAATAATTTTAATTAATCTATTAAAAGTTAATATATGAGTAATATTCACCTCGATCGATGGCATCTGTCTCTGTTGATCTCAGCGAAGAGAGCTTTTTTTTGAAGGATGGACAAACACTTCAAACAAAAAAAAATAAGGATACATGAAATCACATCAAGATATGTGGAATTTGTGTATAGTTGTGAAATTCATAAAACAAAAAAAGAAGCCAAATAGATCTTGTTAATATCTACCAGAGTATTTCCCAATCCAGTCCTTGGGGACCCAAAGATAGTCCTCGTTTTTGTTCCCTCCAAAAATGTGGACTGTCTGCCAGGGAGCTCGGAATGACCAAAAACATGGACGGACTGTGGGTCCCTGAGGACCGGATTGGGAAACACCGATCTAACAATAGTGTGAGTCAAATAAGTTGTCGGTGCTACTGCGAGTCGTGTCAAACAAAAGTGAGGACAAATGCGACGTGATTTTTGCGCATGCGCACGACACACAGCTCAGCCCTAGATCATACAACATGGGCTTACTGTGACGGTGACCCCGCACTAGACAAGTGGTCACGCAAATTGGATGCGTTGTAGATAATAATGGGAAATTTAATATCTGATAAAATACTCAAACCATGAACCGTTTCATTTAACAGGTCAGCATCAGACTGATATGGAGCCTCATACCTGACACAGATCCACTTGAGGATGTCGGAGCGATGTAAGGAAGGCAGGCACAGCAGGTCTCTCATGCTCTCGTCTTCCCGCAAATACAGCCCGTCAACAAGAGGACAGCCGAGGCCCTGAAGTTCAGCAACGACGACCGTCGGCATAACAGTCACAGACACAGCCGTCCATAGCTCGTCTATAGCTGCTAAAACCAGCGCTCTGGCGAAGGAACCCATCGCTCGGGACGTGTTACACAGGCACACAATTTAAAAACATAATACTTGGTTTGACTTTCCCAAGGTAGTCCACCGGTTTTAAGCCGGTTACAGGGGATGCATGATAAGTTTGGCAAGGGTAAAGTCGAAATTTCAAGCTGGGCGGCTTCATAATCAAAACATACACGGGAAGGAGAAGATGGCCTATGAAGGTACTTCTGCACGGTGTAGTTAAGGTTAGGGCACCTGTATATCGGCCGTTTAGAAGCTGGGGCACATAGCTACCGTCTAACTCACACCAAGGGGAATGCAATGAGTAACTAAATCCGATAAACTTATCACGGCGTTAATATCAAAGGAGTCTGTATCCTAAACGAACCGATACAAGTGATAGCGACAGTTTCAGGAAATTGGCTAATGAGAGCTTATTAGTGCATTTAAGAAGGTACATAAGACGTATACCAAACAAAATCGCAAAACAAAGTACCTGAAGACGGTCGTAGATCTCCCGGGAAAGCTGTTTCTCTTTCAAAGTACCCGCCATGTTTGAACTGCAGAGCCGATCCCTCACCCACACTGACATCTACAGCTTGGGAGGTGGAAGGTTCCTCTCGGCCCCCTGGAGACTCCGCATGCAGCTCCGCCGCGTTCAACCCCCCGAGTGATCATAACTTTATGAAGGCGTCGTTGCTACTATCAGGGTTGCCAACTGCAGTGAGATTTTCAATGCGAGACAAATCTGCACACATATTTACATGTACGTATCTGTTTTATTACCTAGTAAATAGTAGGTAAGAATTCTTGCGTGACCGTGAGTCTGAGAGCGTGACTGTCATGCCAAATGCGTGATAGCTGGCAATCCTGTACTGTGCACTTTCCTCACACCTCTTATATATATTAATATATTTGGAAGATGGAAATGTCATCGTTTAGTTTTTCTTTTTCTAATCACAAACAAATGGACATAAAAGTTAATTTAAATTAGTTTAATCATTTTAGTATGATTTGATGTTGCCAGTTTTGCCATGCTCCTGAGTAATAGACACTAAAATGTATTTTTTTTATAGCATTTTCAAGACACCAACTCTAGGGATTGCCAACTTTCACGCATCTGGCGTGACACTCACACTTTAAGACTTTTGCGCTCATGCAAGGAATTTTACGGCAAATCTATATTATTCCATTATAAACCTAAAATTAGCTGCATCAAAAGCGTTGGGGTAGTTTGCAAGCCCTAGAGACTTCTTACAAGGTAATAAAACTGTTACATACATGTAAATGCGTGTGCATGAGTGTTCAGATTTGTTTCAAATTGAAAATCTCACTCCAGCCAGCTGATCAAAGTTGACAACCCCGAAGTCATTTTTTCCATTCCCCAATTAACATGTTTCAAGTAAAACGTTTTATCTTAAGGTTGTTCTTTAGTAGGATATAAATTTAGTTTTTTTCCTACATCCTCAATGACACTTTCCATCCTGTTAGTCTGCTCTAACATTCATTCACATAACAATAGCTAGTCCCTTTTTAAGTCATCCATCAGGAAATTACATCATTTAGGATGGAAAAACAACAGCCCAACAACTCAATGTCCACTAAGTATTACCAATGTGTTTTATGAATTTAGTAAAGTCTCATGAATTCAATTAGATTATCTAACTATACAAATTCTGTCATTTTAGGTAAAAATCATAGAAATGAATAATTCAATATCAAAATTTCCAAAGATGCTTGAAAAAGATCAAATTAATTTCAACTGTGCATCCTATGTTAGCTTACTTTGACTGAGCAAGACCTAACTTAACCTCTCAGTTTCCATCCTGTTTGATGGAGCATGTAGCTATCGGGATGGAAAGTTATAAACTCTAATAAACACATATAATGTTAATTCATTCAAGAGTTATTGCTATTTGCATAATGACTTTTGCATATTTACATTTTTTTTACATTACATTATGTCAGGTCTATAATTCATTTCCAGGCTATATCCCATGTAAGTTGTATTAATACTTGTACACATGCCTAAGTGAACATTGCTGAGTTCTGCTCAAATGCACTGTACTGTAAATCGTGCTGCGATGCAGAACCTGAAAAATATCAAAAAATATCTTAGGGAGGAGACGAAGAACTGGCAAAGAGACAAAGAAAGTGGGATGAAAAAGTCAATAGCAGATGTCAGTGTGAGAGAAGCAGTGGAGAGAACTGAAAGGGTTAGGAAAAGCTATAGCAAGCAAGAGAGCACCTCTACAACCTACAGTAAATCCACTGAGGTCAGCCCTTGATGCTGCTGAATCTACCTGCATCACGTGCAATTGCGACCATTGCAATATGGGGTCATTCTTCCTGAGGACACTAGTCAATGTTGTATAGCAGTGTTTCCCAATCTGGTCCTCAGGAGTCCACGGTTTTTCTCCTTCCCGGCACCCGGTAGGACTGTCTGGACGGCCTGGCAGGGAGCTGGGAGGGTGCGAAAACGTGGACTGTCTGGGGGTCGTCAAGGACGGGGTTGGGATACCTGCTGTGTAGTATCTGATCATGCAGCATGTCCTGCATTCAGACGACCTAAAAGGAACTAACTAGCCTAATACAATGAATATTTGTAATGAATTAAATGATAAACTTGAACATGGTAGAATAAGGGACAAAAAAATTTTTGTATGTCTTTTCACTCATTGTTGACATTTTTGGAATGGTATATTTATGTACTTTACGATGTAGAACCATTTTCCTGCTCTTGTATGAAAAATTGTCGTTGTATAAGTTCCTGAGCTTCACCAGAGTATAGTTCTGAAAGCCTAGCATATCCTTGTCTAGAAGTTTTTCAATAAATTAAGAAACACACATATTCATTTTCAAACAGCTAAGTACCTTATAGCAGGAATAACCCAAAGGTCATCCAGAATATAGACGCACGGTTTGTGAAGTTCACTCAGGGCTTTCAAACACTTTAAAGTGATACAATACTGGGTGACAGGAAAATCTGGAAAACAAAATGCAACAAAGTACTTCATACACTAAAATGGGTATTTTTCTGTTGCTGTAGTGTCAGGTAGAGGCAAAAGGTTACTGGTATATTATCTGCAGGACTGGATAACTAGCTGGTTAAAGTTTGCCCCTTTGTTGACCTTAAGAACTCAGGAACACTTTAAGGGTTTCAGCCACAACTGCCTCAAGCTGATTGTTATTGTTTGTTTACATTTATAGCAAGAGGAATAATTGGCCTGTATTTCAATAATTTGTGTATTATTATGCTGTAATCTACATGTTATTACAAAGGCTTCCAGTGTAACAATTTAGCGTGTCAGCAACATAATCAAACTTTCTAATTGTATCGTTTGAATACCCAGAAAAAAACATGAGGCAGAGTGAGGCTACAGTGTAACCTGTTATAATAAAATTAAACTTGTTATCCTTAAACAGGCAATGTCAAAAGGTGGAAAGAAGGATGGCTGTTTGTCTTCAGCTGTGACCTGTGTGCTGTGTAAGTATGTGAGCACATATAGCAATGACCCACAACAAGAGACACTTGTCAAAGTTATTATTGTAGAATACTTTTGATTTTTTTCTTTTTATACAGACAAAAGTGTTTACGTATCTTCCCAGTAAATTCTCGTAGATTCCCGTACAGTTTACAGGTGTGTTCTTATATAGATTTTTTTTTCTCTTAAATAACAGGCAGGTAAATTTATTATATTTAATAGTCTGAAGTTTTTTTTTTTCCTTTTTTGTCTTTTCCATCTTAGCGCAGATTCAGTACAATAGAATATGCTCAGGAGAGTGCTCAGTTGTTTTCCATCAGCATAAAGAATTGGTTGGCAAAAAAGTAATAATAATGGTAATAATGATGATAATAATGTAAAAGTGGTTACATGTAAGTCATTTTTTTTCTTTACAAAAAATAGGTAGAGCGGAGGAAGAGAAAACAGGAAAAAACACTGGAATATTACATAAGAAGTAAACAAAAGATGCACACATACATTTTGGCAAAATATACAGCAGTGGTATTTTGTTAATAGGACTTTTATTCTACACACAAAAGGTTTTCCATCTTTTTGTAGTTTTTCTGCAATTCTCTTGTGAGCGTTTTACAACAAGAGAGTGGAATCTTACTTTTTTGTATTGTTCATTTTATAGTTTTAAATATTACTACCAGTATTCCTCTATTCCATGTATTAAAATGCATGGTGGACGTGGATGAGAGAAATTCAGGCTTTCTCTTCAGTGATCGTCATGACGATATGCTGATTGCTTTCCTGGTTGACGTGGCGACCTTGACTTGAAATGTGCTAACTGTGTTGTGAAAGGCCTGTAAGCAACCTACTATATATTCTGACTCTACTGTCTGCTTTCTGTACATCCTTACAAGATTTAAAGTTTCTGCTTTAAACACACAAAATGTTTCCTACATAGACACTCAGAGTTTTGTGACAGATACGGCATAGCCGTCGTTAGCAGACGCACGAGGCCCAGCTGTCTGACGAGATGGGCTTTGCGAGGCCGTTGGATCACTTGCCATTTGCACATTTGCTGGGCAAAAGGCTCAATGTTTGTTTTCTGCTCTTCTGCTCCAGTAGCAAACCAGGTGAAACAGGGTAATCTCCGGACAGGGTTGTGTCAGATCACTCCCTGTGAGGTATCGTCACATGCTCATCTGCTGCCATCATACATCCATACCCCAACTTCCATCAGACCCTAACTTTTGTGTCTATAAAACCGAGCTTTCAGACAGAGTATTGTACACAGATAAAGGTATTTCAGGAGAGCCCTATGAACGGACCGTATAGCAAACCTCTGTAACAAAGTCTTTAACGTGGCAGATTGTTGCATAAGTACCGGTCCACTTTACTAGGATGTCCTTCCATTTTGCACCACTGATTTCAAAAATATATAAACAGGTAGGGACTGGACTCCTATGGCTGCTGCAAGTCCAAACTCTTATACGGTTGTCTTTTTCTCCGTTATCTCACAGCACAGTCCTTGGATGTGACAAATAATAATCGCATTTCAACGTTGCAGTGCATTCTGTATTCAGACACTTCAGACTGCTGAGCCCGGATTGACGCATAGCTCACGCAGTCTTTGGTAGCAGAACACATATTAGCACATTTCCTTTGCCACTTAGCCATCTCATTTCTACAGTAAAAGTCTTTGATATTGTGCAAGTTTGAACACTAATGTCTCTATATTCAACAAAATAAATAGAATTCAGAGCAATTGTTACTAGTAGCTATCAGAATGGCCACATTCTGGCAGTTTTTGATGGTACTGTACAAGCTAATAGTCTAATGTAACATCATGATAGATGTTCTGCGTTCTTCGACTCAATTAACAAATGTCAGCTTTAACTTAAACCTTAGTTACAGTGGCAGAGTCAAAAGTGATGTTTTCGAAACAAGTCAGTTGCAACAAATATGATGGTCATATAAAACTGACATGTGGCTTAAGTCGATGTTTCTCTAGCTGAGAACTGACCACAGGATGTGTTTATTAAAAATGACCCCATCTGGCTTTTTAGGCCTACAGCAGCCAGAGTAAATCAATAAAAAAGGGGCGAGTACCTGTGGAAATACATTATATTACTGTACACAGCAATAAGGAAGGCTATCATTAAAGCAACAAGAAAGGGTGAAACAGTAAATATGGGCCAGTGGAAGTTAACATTGTCTTCAGATATTATTCTTTAAAATTAATATTTTTAAAAGTGCTCTTCTGTCAAGGTGTCGCTCAACAGATACGTTATTTCTTTTGCTGGAATGATAAATACGAATCTCTTCCAAGAAACAAAGACGTACTTTGTTTCATTGGGAATTAATCACACACGCAAGAGACAGATGGTCATGCTTCCAGTTTGTCTTGAGTTTCTGCTGTAAAAGTGAGGTCTGGTCCTGGAGCAGCCTGGGTTAGGCTTCCGGTTTGTTGCAGCTGACTTAGCCCATTCCAAAATACACTACTCCTCAGGTGCCTTTCTCTCAGACCTGTCTGCAGACCTTCGTTATTTAAGGAGACGTAAAGAAAGAAGCAGATCGCCTACAGAACCCCCCCCAAAAAACGGAAACGGGAAGGTGAAGTCAATGATGTGATTTTTTTTTTCTTCTCCTTTTTTTTTTTTTTGTAGTTTTGTGTTTATCAAACACAACTATTTGTTCAAAATCACTATTAGGGTTAAACGTTTTTGTGTCCTTGCTTGTTAGTACTGTTTTTTTCCCCCTCTTTTTGTTTTTAAGAACAGACACGACGACACGCACACACACACACACACACAGAGAAACAGACACAGAGTAAATGAAAACGAAAGTAAAACAAAAGGAGATAAGCAGGTCGAGAGACCAATAAATAAATAAATAAATAAATAAATACACAAATAAATATTATACTTAAAGCTAACCCATAATGCATTAGTAACTGCCATATAGTATTAGTAGTAATTGTAGTAGTATTAACAATGATAATAATAATGATAATAATGGTGATCGTAGTAATAATAAAGTAGTAGTAATAATACTAATAACAACATCAATAAAAAGTGGAATGAATGACCTTGTTCATCCCCCATGAGTCTCTCCTTCTCTTACAAAACCAGGAGGTCTAGACCAACGGCAGTCGGCTTCAGTCTAAATCCTTCCACCATGTTGCACTTTCTAAGTTGTGCGAAAAAGTCTCAGTTGAGGCTAGACAGGGTTGGATTTCAGGTGGGGTGTTTGGCGGGGGAGTGGGTGGTGGCTTCCACCTTTTGGTTGATAACCAAACACTATGGAGCGGAGCAGAGATGGGGGGGACATTTTTGTGGGGAGGGGGAAAAATTGCTTCAGAAGAAACTATCCACAGAGTCTTGTTGGGTAAGGTCGTTTTCCGATTCCGCCGTCTTGTTCCCACGCTGTCACGCCACAGTCTGCCAGAGTCTTTTGGCTCCCGAGTTGCGACCCGCGGCCCCGGCAGCAGTTATACGGAGCTCTCCACGCCGATCAGCAGGCCGCCGTCGCCGCGGGGGGCCGAGAGCTGCACGGCATTTACCATGCTCAGCAGGACGCTGCCGTCGATGGCATTGTTGTTGCGGTTGGGAGTCACCGGCAGGCTGTACTGCCGGTAGGGGCGTGGTGGGGGCCGCGTGCGCTTCTGGGGCTGAGGCTGGGGGGGCGGTGGGGGAGCACGCAGGGCCGGGTGCAGGTGGTTGTGCCTGGAGAGCTCAGATTCCTCGTCTATGTCTGTGTCGTCGATCAAGGGGATGTTGTGGATGAAGTCGTTGATGAGGAACTCAGGATGTGCCATGAAGTTGTGGATGGAGTTTCTGGATTCGGGTTTTTCGATGCCATCATACAGCGAGCTACGAAAGGCCTTCACCACTCGCATCTAAGCAGAAGGGCGGGTGAGCAGGGGTGAGGGAAAAGTGAAGAGACTTTTAGTATTACGGGAAGACGGAGAACGTGGGCAGGAGTGCTGTTCTACAGGCCAGGATCTAAGATCAGGTTGCTGATGACATGCTTCTGACTATGGTGCTTGAGGTTCTGACATCTCAAGTGGCTGATCTGCTCAAGTGGGCAAAATGAATCACCAAATTTTTGTTTTACATCAGTGATTTTTTTCATGAATACCCTAATTGTTCTCAGAAGGAAGAATGTGAATTTGATGAGTTTGTTTAGTAACTTCATAGGTTGTGTCCCCTGCATAATACAAATTCACTTGGCACATTTTCTGTGTTTTCATTTTAGGGTAATACAGGAACGAGCAACCTGATCTTACAAGTTTCTCAAAAAAGAGAGTAAAAAAAATGACAGAAGATGATTTGAAACATGAGCAAATATTTAACACAATGTGTCATTTTACCATTGCGTAGGTCACAGTAAATGGGAAAAAGCAATTGAATTAAAACGGAAAAGATAAAACATAAGTACAGAGACTGAGTGTGTGCGTGTCGCATGGGCGGAGAGATAAATCTACACAGGTATACATGTGCAAAAAAACGTCAGGGGAAATGAGAGGTCGATTCTGCAAGAAAGCAATGATAAATAAAAGGACATGGCCGAGCACACCGACACACAGATACTCATTTACGTCAGATGTTATAACAAATGCCACTGCTGTTCCCTGCATGTGGCGCCCCCGAGTGGACACGGCTATGCTGACGTGCATTGAGAGCAAGGCGGGGAGCCCATCGCGTTTCAGCTTTGGGTCGGCTCGGGATTTCAGGGTAGAACGCAGGGAGGGTGAGTGAAGCGACGGGCAGCTCGAGATTTGAGATCCTGTCAGCATGCACATGTCAAGCAGACAGCCAATCAGAGCACAGGAATGCCAAGCCGAACCTAAAGATTCTGGTAGCTGAAGGAATATGTGTCTCCGAGATGCATAAAGATAACAGTGAGGACAGGTGTGTGTCTGGTACTCCTGGTGATGGTGTGAAAACTGAAGTGTCCTTCATTCTCTCATTTAAGGCATGACTTCATCATATTGCTTACAGTGTGAATTTGGTGACACTTAAGGTCCAATTAAACCTGGGCACTTGAAGATACACATTTTGATAATGTGCACAATGTATTAAAGGGCATTTTTACTAACAACCCTGCAAACATGACTCACAGCAGGCTCTCAGTAGAAGAACATCCTTTGGGTCTTTTGTTCATAGAATAAGCCTCTGCTCATCGTAAACAAACATTGTGCTCATTTGTCTAAAAATGTAACACAAATTATTTGTAATTAACAAATAACGATAATACCACACCAACGCTGTAAAATCACTGTAGTGATGGGGGAATCCAAGCGGTAGTGAGTGATTTTACAACATAATAAAAAAAAAGAAGCTTGAAACATTAAACAGAAATAAACAAAAATGTTTTAAGGCACTAATTGATTTACAGTATAACTGAAAATCATTTCAAATTAGTATGAAAATAAATGATTGCTTTTGTCATGCCGTGTTTATAAAATAGCAGACACACAGAAACTGGGAAACACATGAGCCCCTGGCATCTGCGAAGCAAACACAGTGTCTCAGCTGTGACTCTTAAATGTTCCCTGCGGATGGTGAGGCAGGGAGTGCAGAGTGCCAG